AGAATAAGAAGCAAAAGGTGGGTGTGGCTGGATGACCACACTTCTGGTAACATGGGGGTGCGGCCTAATATGCTAATGAGCTGTGTTGTCAGGGGTGTGGCCTAATACGCTTATGAGTTTCTGCTGTTGGGTGTGGTCTATTATGCTAATGAGTTCCTGCTGGACTTTTTCTACAAAAAGAGCCCTGCAGGGTTCTCCCCCTCCAAATAATTTTTAACATACTGAATTTTTCTGCAAACCCCAGGTTTCCTTGAGGTTTGTAGAATTCTAAATGGTGCCATGGTTAGCCCGATTTTGAAAAATCTTGTGTTCACATATATATGTGATACTTTATGTTGTTCTGAGGTTCCTCCCCCCCCCCAAAAAAAACCCCCTCTTAACAGAAATTTCCTTTAGAAGCTTAAACTATGTCCATATTTAAAGCACAGAGCTGTGTAAGAAAGTGTAACCGTGAGGGAAGGTTAGGGTGAGAGTCATTTCTTGCAGATAGCCAGTGTAGTGTGCTCTCAGCCCTTTGGATTATCAGAGTTTACAGCCTTGCTCTCAGATAAGATTTACTTCCTAGTATGTAAAACTAGAGTAATAACTAGTTTGTGACTAAAGGGTGGATGATAAAGAAAAGGAATTCAAACTATGTTTATGTTAACAAACTATTTTGCTAGTTTACCCGTTGTGGAAACTATCCATAACAATAAAGAATCCAGTTATGATAAATGTCCAGCTAAAATATATCTTGGTTCCATATGGATAATCCTATAACTTCTATGTTTCTTTTCATAAGATACAACTTCAGGACTAGCAGTGAACTTAGATTTTCTTACTGTAACACCATTGATAAGGGAGAAAACTCACTTCACTATTGGGATAAATATGATATTTAATATCACTGCTTGTTAATTTATGTGATTGAGTTGAATATTCTTTAGGCACATATATTTGTGGTCTTAATTCTGTTCATACAAATTAGTTATTTCTGTGAAAAATATCTCTGCTAATAATGAGCCTTTCTATGGGTTATATCCAGTAGTATAAAAATGTCAGTGATAAATTTCTCTTAATTAAATCACCAGGTCCTTAATGTGTCCTTTGCATTTGAGCTAATGCAAGATGGAGGGCTGGAAAAACCAAAACCAAGGCCAGAAGGTATCTTATTGAACTTATTGCAATGCATCTTTACTGTGATAGAATCAACAACAAACTAATAGGTTAAAATGAGAATTAAAAGCAATGTTTAAGTAAGCAAATATCCCTAGTTTCATTGAACTGATGTAAGCATTGTATACACTTTCCTAGAAGTGCACAACTGTTGACAGAGATATTTATATTCAAGGGCAGATATAATGGGATTATTTTATTTAAATAAGTACAACTGAAAATATTGTGGGTCTAGGGAGGTGATATTAGTAGCATGGACTGATTATTCTGTTGGAAGGAACTGTTCTATATTACTCTGCCAAGGTAGATTAGTACATGGCCTCAGACAAAGTGAGTGAAGATAGAAAAGGAAAAGTAGAGCCATAAAGAAAATGGAATTGCTGTGATCCCATATCCCTTGTGGATAGTTAATATCACTAAGGCATTTTAGTTCTTTGGGTGTTTATTACTCAAAGAAATGGCAGTTTTTTCCCAGCATGAATCTTAAATCACACAGACATTTCAGCATTCATTTATGTGTTTGTATGTGTATAAGACATTTCTTGTGTAATTATTGAAAAGCTTAATATGAAACTTCCTGTTCACCGTGAATGGAAAAAACACATCTGTTTTCTATGTTGTCACATCAGGCAGAATGCCCTTGGTAAAAATTTCCACTGAGCAGCATGGGAGACTAAAAAGGCTCTTAATAATATAAAGGTGACTTGCAAATAGCTTTCAGATTCCTTACTTGCTTTGACCAGATTTTGATGGATGAATTTCTAACATGGTTATCTAGTCATATAATAATATCGAGCAACAAAAATGAAATGCTAGATGGGACATCTGCATTTCTCTTGAAATGGTAGGTGGGTCCTATTCTTGCTAGGAGAGCCAAATGTTCCCTTTCCCAACCTACTAGTTTTATATTAAAAAGTAAAGGTTCCCTTGCTCGAAAGCCAGTCGAATCCAACTCTAGGATTGCGGTGCTCATCTCCGTTTCAAAGCCGAAGGGCCAGCGCTATCCGAAGACATTTCCGTGGTCATGTGGCTGGCATGACTAAACACCAAGGTGCATGGAATGCTGTTACCTTCCCACTGAAGTAGTACCTATTTATCTACTTGCAATTTCTTGCTTTCGAACTGCTAGGTTGGCAGGAACTAGTTGTATACTGTGCATCATATCCTAGGAATATCTTTCATAAAATCCAAGAAAAAAGGATCACTTTACCTTTTACTATAGAAAAGTGGTCTTTGGCTGTGGACCATACCAGCGGCCATCTTATTTTGTTTAGGATTTTTAGGAGGAGAAGGATGAGGGAGGGAGATCAGAGGGAAGAAAAGGTGAAGAGGGGTAGAAGCAGAAAACATCATTGTGTAGAGAGAAAAAATTAAAACTGGGACTCATATTGCAGGTTACTATTACTGGGTTTCCAGTTTTGGGGGGGAAGCTACCTATTGACTTTTCTATGTTCTTTGTCTTAGGATTTTCACATACATGAAACTGTAGGGATTGATGTGTTCATTTTCCCTATGATTACAGAGTGCTGCGGGCCCAAGGCCAGCATTGTGTCAAGGCCTTTTCTGTGCTGCCCAGTGAGTTTTCTTCCCGGGGGCAGTAACACTTAAGTCTGTTGCTCTTGATAAACATACACCAACATTAGCACCGAGAGCAATCCTAAGCAGGTCTACTTAGGTCCCTGCCACACGAGGGGAAAAAAAGGATGGGCTATGTGCGGCTTTTAAAAGCCGCACCAAAATGGGCACGCGGCGGCAGGATCGTACAGATCCTGTGAGCCGCCGTGCAATTGCTCCCCGGCACGATCAGATACCGGGGAGGAAGCCACGGGAGGCTGCCGAACTGCGCATGTCTGAGCATGCGCCTTTCGGCCAGGACCCGGGGATGCGCCGGCGGAAGAACGCGCCGGCGATCCCACGGCTGGCTTTGATGCGGCCGTTTGGAAAGAACCACCTCGGTAGGTGGTTCTTTTTTGCTGCAGATTATCGTAGGAAGGGCCGGATCGGGGACGGGCGCGCAATTGCGGTGGGATCGCGCCCGTTTGCTCCGCCGCCGATCCATCCCTCTCCCGGCCCAAATCCGCTCGTGTGACCGGGGCCTTAGAATCCTACTCAGGTCTATTCGTTGGGACTGACTTGCCAGAAATAGGTCATAGAATTGCACTGCCAGGATTCTTGGTCTCGGAATCCACCCACATCAACTTATGACGACACCAACAAGATGCTTTCAGGGCAAATGAGAAGCAGAGATGGTTTGCTGTTGCAGACTCCTCCTTGGTAGTGTCCCGTCCAAGTACTGACCATGCTTAGCTTCCAAGATCTGATGACACAGGGGCTATATCATGCTTTCTCTCTTTCTCTCACATACTGAAAGCCAATTAGTCATTTCTTTGTCTTCAGCAAACCAAAGGTTGCTGTTATATCGAACCTGGCAAACAATGGTTTTCACTTCATAATTTGGTTTGCAGAGCAAATGGAAAACAAAGTTTGCTGGCACAGATGTAATGGCAAACTGTGATTTTTCTGGGAACCAGGAAATAACTAGCATGCTCGTGGAATATGCTGGAAGAGAGAAGAAGGAACGCTTGTGGCTTAGTAGATTACTGGTTCAGTTTGGGACTCACAACCAAGGTCTACCAAACACTGACAACTCCATGTTTTTGCCATCTTTGTCAGGAATTTGAGTAGGTTATGGACTTGTCATTAGATAATATCTGGATGGATGGCTATATTTGGTTTGGTGGATTGACAGTTGCGTGCTTTTTCTTTTACTGGAATTTTATTTATTTATTTATTTATTTTTCGCATTTATACCCCGCCCTCCCCGATAGGCTCAGGGCGGCTTACAGAGGCAAGGCAAAACCTTGCCATAATAAAAAACATAATATACATAATGATTTAAAAACATATAATAAATCTTAAAAACATCCTGAATTAAAACATGGTGCTCAATAACTTGCATAATTCCAGAGATGGCAGATCGTAGGTCCGAGGTTCCGAGTGATACTTCTCACGGCTCAATATTAAGATGTTTCTTCAGGGCTTCATCCAAAACAAGGGGTTAAGTTATAGTAGGGGCGGCGGCTCCTACTCAAAGGCCTGGCGGAAGAGCTCCGTCTTGCAGGCCCTGCGGAACTGCATAAGATCCCGCAGGGCCCGGATCTCCCCTGGGAGCTCATTCCACCAGGTAGGAGCCGCCACCAAAAAAGCCCTGGTCCTAGTAGCAGCCAGCTTGGTATCCTTGGGGCCCGGGATGGCTAACAAATTTTGGGCCCCTGTCCGTAGTGCTCTTGGGGGAACATACGGGGCAAGGCGGTCCCTCAGGTAGGCTGGAACCTAATTGGCAATACCCCTGAACAAAGGCTGTTAAAATCCCACTTGAGTCAAATGCACGTAAGCCATTGCAATTATAAGTAAAAATATGCTGCTGCTTCCTCCATATTTTGGTCCTTTGTTTGCTCACTGTTTATCATTCAAAAAGCTGACTCTACTTTCTTCTTCTTCTCCCCCAGACATTGTAAATTGTGATTTGAAGTCAACCTTGAGAGTGCTGTACAATCTCTTCACAAAGTATAGAAACATAGAATGAAGAATCTGTTGAAATTGCCACAGATGGCTGTAAATGAACCAACAAGGAAGCCTCTCCAATCTTTGCCATCTTTCTGTTTTAAATAAACACTATGCTTTCCTCAAAGGAGACACCATGCTTCTCAGAATACTCTTGCTATGTTTGTTTTACATAAGCTAGGACTGCCAATATATGTTATGAAGTAAAAATCCAATGCACACATTTGCTGCTGAGATTCCATGCTACTATATAATTCTTATATTTAAACACTCTCTTAATTTCATGAAGAACAGGCATAAAGTCTGATCCAGAACTGGGTCGAGGGAGACAAATGAAAAGAACAGCATTTCCCCTTTTTTATTGCACAGAGGCAGTGACCCAGAAGTTCATGCACCATAGGCTCTTGCGCTGCTGAATGGGAGACTGTCCTTGTTTGGGACCTGTCCTAGTGGAAGAGCCTGTGCATCTTCTGCCTTTGGCGCCTCTGCTCCAATGCTCTGCCCCTTTTTTGGTGTACCATACAATGCACTTAATCAGTCCAGGAAGTGGACCATTTCTTAATGTGGCCTTTTCATTGTTGCTGGCGCTCCACCACAACTCTGTACTGCTCTGTACCTCAATAATAAACAAGCTTGGGGAACTGCCTTATTAGCAGCAAGATGCCATTTAAGCTGTCATGGTGCAAAGTGGTGTTTAAGGTTTGGCAGATAAATAACTTAGATCCAGATGGTCCTGTTTAATGGAGTTGTGTGTCAGGCTACAGGAAATTTTCCATGACACTGCGTGTGTGTGGTACGTATTTATTTCAGGAAAGGATCCCTCCTACCCATAATGAGATATAAAACTGCTGTTATGAAGACCATGGAGAATATATTAGCATACCATGGATGGTATGATTTAAATGTGATCGAAGAAAAGCTTCAAAACAGGTTTCACCTGAGTATTATTTCCTATGCAATAGTGGCCTGTGTACACATTCCTTATAATTTTTTTATATCTTAAAGTTTACAATAAGCTTTATATGTGCAGAATAGCACATTTCATCGTATTACTTTCTGCACTAGGAACACTTGGCTAGTTGAAGAGACAATGGTACTAAATGTGTAGATGAATTCAAACTCGCAAGTCTTTAACAGCAAAACACAGAGAAAGCCAGCATGGTGACACAGTGACTGAATAGAGTGAGGTCTGCTCTATCAGGGCACTGACAGGTAATCAAAATAAGCTGTTTTTACTTAATTGGAATGAAACTTTAAAACAAATTAATTGGTACAAGAAGTTTAACTTTTACTTTTCTCCTTGGAGCAAACTTTAAAATAAATCATGTGCCAGCAAGTAAACATTGTACTAATATGTGGGCTGAGTAGCCCACCAAAAGCACAGAGGTGAGCAGCAAAGGGCAATGAAAATATGAGCTGAAGGCTGTACGTTTATTGTGTGAAGACTGCAGGGAATGGGAGTTCACCTCTTTGCAGGAATATCTGTATGGCGCCTCTACTCCATTATCACTATGGACCACAATCTTTCAGGTTCTTTGGCAAGCAAACACTTAATTATGATTATGTTTGATGGTTTCTGTTCAGGTTCAAAGTAAGACAATAATCTGAGGTTTGGCTCAGTTCTGTTTTTTCTGGGGGGAAACCTTCCCCAACCAGTTTGGGGTTGAGATTCCAGATTGGCTTAGTACCCTTGAACTGTGGGCAGTGTTCCCTCTAAGCTGAGTTAGTGTGAGCTAGCTCACAGTTTTTTAGCCTCTGGCTCACACATTTTTCTCTTAGCTCAGGAAGGATGGCTCCAGAGCAACCTAATTTATGCAGTAGCCAACTCATTCATTCCCAACTTTAATGTCAGTCGCTCACAAAGTAGAATTCTTGCTCACAAGACTCCACAGCTTAGAGGGAGCATTGACTGTGGGATGTTTCCCGGCACACTTTCAAAATATATGCTATGGAACCAATAACTGTAATCACAAGAACAGCAATGGCCTATAGTTGTATCTGAAAAACAAACTTTCATTGATATACAATGAAGGAGGATAAAAAAATATAAAACATTGAAAATACAAATATCCAAGAACATCTACAACACTTAGCTGACTATATCAAGGTCTAAAATTACACATAGGTGTAAAATCTATTGATGTAGACAAAGTATTTCTGAGCAAGTTCACTCTCAGGCTGAATTGTAGAACTTGTCATATTTTGTCATATGCGATATGTCCTTGGGGTAATTTTATCCTTTTCCTTGGTATTAATTTATTGTATATCAATGATATCATTCTTCTTTATAATTGTTTCTTTAGTATTACTGTTATTGGCTGCCTAGTAGGATGGACTTTTGTAAATCCCCTTTTGTTTCCTGTGTTTCACTCTTCAGTACCCTTTTTCAGTTGTAGCCATCTTGCACACAGACGGCTGTGCTAGTGGCTTCAGCTATGAAATTAAATAGATTATTGAAGTTTAGTGTTTGCAGAGAAAAACAGAAAAGTCTTCATCACTTGAACAGTAATTCAATATCTAGCTTATAGTTAATGCTATGAACAAGGGGAAAACTTGCAGCCAAAATTCCTGGATAACTCTTTTCAAAGAGTGGAGCTAACAAGCTATAGAATTCTGTTACTAATTTTACTTTGCAGTATTTTTCCACGGACATTAGCTAAATATTAAGTTACATAGATAGATTATTGCACTTTAGTTAGCTTTGTACAGAATGCAAAAAATAAAAATAGAAGTCTGTGAACAATAGAGGTGGTGTCTGATCTAGCTGAAAGAATAAACAAATCTTATTTTTAGAAGTAGTTAATCGTTTGAGTCAAAGCAATGGTATTCCCAGTAGTCATGTATGGCTGTGAGAGTTGGACTATAAGGAAGGCCGAGCGCTGAAGAATAGTTTCTTTTGAACTATGGTGCTGGAGGAGACTCTTGAGAGTCCCTTGGACTGCAAGAAGATCAAATCAGTCAATCCTAAAAGAAATCAACCCTGACTGTTCCCTGGAAGGCCAGATAATGAAACTGAAGCTCAAATACTTTGGCCACCAAATGAGAAGGGAGCACTCACTGGAGAAGACCCTGATGCTGGGAAAGATTGAAGGTCAAAGAAGACGGGGACGGCAAAGGATGAGATGGTTAGACAGTGTCATCGATGCAACGAACATGAAGTTGAGCAAGCTTCAGAGGACGGTGGAAGACCGGAAGGCCTGGCGGGAGCTGGTCCATGGGGTCGCGAAGAGTCGGACTCGACTGTGCGACTGAACAACAACAACAATCGTTTGAGAGGAACATATTGGGATCAGTCTTCTATCCAGCATTTAGCCAAGAAGTCAGAACCTGTTCTGAACAAAGCTCGGAAGTCTGTGCAAAGGGTATCAGGCCATTTCTAAACCTGTTGACAATTGTTAGCAGTTGGTCTCTATTTATGAAATTCCCAATTTTTTAAAGAAAATTGTGTCCTATAAAACAATAATGACTGTGAGAAGGCATTCATTTGCAGATATAATAAATACGAAGCTAACTCAAGTTGCTGCTAATGACCATTGATATTAGATACATTTATAAATACACTGCAAGTTTTATGTAATCTAACCAGTTGTTCTGTTCTTCATATGATATCTTTTGATGAGAAAATGGATGCATATGTTTAAAACAAGCCCAAATCCAACAGCAGTGGGTTTGCAACACAGCAAAGCTGAAGCTGCACAAGTTGTTTAGCAGGGAAGAGGACTGAATCCAGCTCCTCCATTCCCTTTTCAGAACACCTCATTAGCTCTGCCTATTCCCCCCCCCCAATCAGAGCCCTGTATGCACAGTCGTTTTAACCGGATCAGTGAATGAACTACATCTGAAGGTGCGGTTCCTTATCTAGCTAAGGATATAGTCTGGACTAGAATGACAGGCTGGAACTGTGCACACGAGGCCGGCTGTCTTAGACAATGGACTCTCCGAGAGCACAGACCCTCTTCCCTTTGCCATTTGCAATGGGGAAACCCTGCTCAAGCACTCCATTACTAGATTGCAGCTGTGTTAAGCACTACTTACTTTTTGAACATTTCATCATAATTTGATGGTAGCACTTTCTTTATTTCCTGGAAGTGTTTCTGTCCAAATTCCAGTATGTTTCTTCAAAAATGTCTTGTGAGTAAATAGGAAGCTGGTTACATTTTTTAAAAATTACAAGTAATTGGACACTTGGAATCATGAACACCATTTCTTTTGGAAAAGCAAAGACCATATGTATGTTTTGTAGGAAGCATTTGTTTCAATTGAAGACATTTTTTTCAGAGCTCATAACATGGAATGGTTTAGTCATTTTTCATACACAAGTATTATATGCGCTATATAAATTGATCCTAGTTTATATTTCTAACAGATTTATGACTTATGTGAAATTAATATGAAATAGAATCTACATATCCTATATAATTTATTGCATCTGAAAAATATAGGCAGATATACTATACTATATGCTATAATAATACTATATTGCTATAGGAGGAGGATTTCTCTATTAGTTTTTTAAAAGATGTCAAAATGAGAGTTAATCTAGTTGAGTAAAATTGTGTGACTGTCATAAAGTTCTGATTTATACAGAATTCATCCTTTTGATTGTTGGAGAGTTTTAAGCCAGACACAGCCTTATTTATAATATCAGAAAGTAAAGTGATTTTTTAATTTCATAATAGGATTGCAATAGCTTTACAATTCTGTAATATCTAGATTGTCCCAAGCCATAGGTTCCGTTCTGGTAGGATGAGGTAAGACCAGGGCAAACAACAATAACAACAGCAAAATGCTGCCATGGTATGCTATGAAGTGCCACACAGAGCAGCATTTTACATGTCCAACTGTCCATTCAGCCTTGTTCAAATTCTCAGTTTCCCATATGTAGTTGCAGGGCAGGACTGTCACCACCCAGCAAGGACCCCACAAGGAATTGTGTTATAAATCACTATCACATGGTTACCATGATTTGCACAGTATTGGCATCTTGAAAAATGCTGGTGTGATTGAACAAACTCTGGCCATCATCAACTGACCTGCAGGCTCTGGATAATGCAGTCAGAATCCGTGTTTGCTCTGAGCCCACAGTAGTCCCACACAATTCCAAGTAAACGTATGGAGCCTGCTGAGCCTCTGAACTTGACCACTATCTTTGTTGATCCTAGGAAGAGTTCCCTTTCCCTCACATTCTTTGATCATTAAGCTTCCCCCCCCCAACTGCCTCTAACCATTGGGGAAGACACCACCTCCCCCCCCCCAATACACAGCTTGCCATCAGAATCAAATATGTTATACTCTTGCCCATAGAGATTTACAAAAAAGTCTCTGGGTGAATTCCCATGTTGGTTCTACATCTGGTCTGGTACTGCGTACCTACATAGAGTTGGACTTCGCTCTGAAATTAGGTTCCCAAGAACCTAATTTATCAAAGGTTCCCAAGAACCTAATTTATCAAAGAAAGAGTGTTTCTACGTCTTACAGTTTTGGGGTGGGTGGGGAATCTCTTGAAGGTTCAGAACTATGCCAGGTTAGACATGACTGAGGGTTGATTTAATCCCATGATTTCTATCTTTTGTCCCACTTGTCCTTCCTGCCACAATCTGCCTGTAACGTTTTATCCATGTATCTTTGTTAAAAATGCTCAAATATTGCATCTGGTAGGGATTTTTATAGAAGGCTCATATGCCAGATTTATTAATCAATAAAGCTTGCTTGGATATTAAGATAGATGGTACTTGATCAGTGTGCCTAACCTTTGCTTTATGTTGAATATAGATCTTTTGTAATTTCTAATTAATCACCTTGATTATTTTTGACAGTGCTAAATTGTACTGTTTATTTTAAAAAGTTATGTTTTCATTCAATAGCCAGAAAGTTGTATCAGTATTTAACATACTTCATATTTAAACCGTTTTTTCTTTTTTTGCTATGGCTTTCTTGTATTAAAAATTGTTCCTTGATTATGCTGAATATTACACAGTACAGTCGCACCTTGAAATTACAGTCTTTTGTGGAATTCCTTTACCAATTAATTGGGGATACTTTGTCAAAACGCTCAACACTTTTGTCCTCTCTCAGCCAATCAAATGAGAATTAGACTTTGGAGGTCCATTAAGGATTTGCATATCCTCCTGTGCACTGGGCAGTTTTATAATCAATTACAGATTATTAACTCACTTAACTGAGCAGGCATATGGCGAAGTTATCTCTGTGATATGTCCTGTGATGTATTTTAATTTAATGCACCATTAAAATCCCATCAGGGTGGATCCAAAAGATTAAGAGCAAACTTTGCACTTGTAGTACGATATTTCCCACTTTCTCTTTCATACTATAGCTTCCTGCATCTCCAGGTGAAGGGCACCTGAGAGAATACCATGGGGGCCAGAACAGGGGTATACAGTGGGAAGGGATTGGTCCCCTTATGTGAGTCTGGTTGGATTCAACACACTGTAATAGAGGAGCTCACGGACAGAAATGCATATTTCTGTTTCCTCCTCTCCTTCTGTAGCCCTCAAAATGCTGGCCCCGGATGGTCAGAGGACCTCAAAGAACAGTGGGAGGTACAAGGTCTGCTTTGGGAGGAGAGCAATCATCTGTAATTGCCACCCCCGTCCACTGACAGAAGGTTTGGTCCCAAGCCACTATAACTCTGCAGTTGTTCAGATTAGAAAATTTGAGGGGGGGTGTGTAAAGCACCAAGTCATGGCTGGCTTGTAGTGACCCCGTAGGGTTTTCAAGGCAAGAGACTAACATAGACG